GGGAAGATCGGAACAGGGGTGGGACCCTGTGGGACGTGCCCACTGTGGGACGTGCCCCACTCTGGGATGTGCCCACTGTAGGATGTGCCCCACTGTGGGATGTGCCCACTCTGGGATGTGCCCACTGTGGGATGTGCCCCACTCTGGGATGTGCCCCACTCTGGGATGTGCCCCACTGTGGGACGTGCCCCACTGTGGGATGTGCCCCAGTCCTGGCACAGGGTTGTTCACAGCCTGCCCTTACAGGGGGATGGGATTGCAGTCCAGCCTGACCTGGGTGCTGCGTGGGACCCCATAAATTGCCCTTGAACACAAATCTCATGCTCTGTCCCAGAGCAGGCAGACAGGCAGTGTCTGTGGGGTGGTTTTTGGTTTTGGGCAGCCGGGGGCACCCGGCCGAGCCCGGCTCTGGGCACAGGGCTGGGGCTGTGCCAGCCCCACACCAAGCCACGTCCTGGGTTGTGTTTGTGTCACGTCCTGCCCCGGTGGAGCTCAATGTGACAATGCTGTGCAATGCTGCTACGGGAGCCACATGTCAGTAGTGAATGTACATGGTCGTAACATGGTGAACATGGACACGTTTTCTTTTCAAATGTGATGTAAACTTTGTACAGTACAAATTTTTTTTTATATTTTCTATGAACTGAGTGTCTTCCAGAATTACTATTAAATTAATTACAAATTGTTAGAATTAACAACAGTTTCTGTATTAGTTTATGCAACCAGAAGAAAAAAGAAAAAAAGAAAAAAAGAGTGCATTCTATGCTACTGGAATTCTGGATATGTAGGAATCTTTTCAGTGAATAAATCTTTGGTCTGGATAAAGCAAGTGTTACTGAGTCCTGGTTTGACCTTTCCCTCCCACAGAGACCCCCCAGCACAGCAGCCCCTCCACCCCTGTGCTCCCTGAGGGACAGCAGCTGATCTCCCCCTTGCAATTACCAAAGTTTTCCCTCCCAGATATGATGAGTCACATTATTAAGTGGGTAATAAAACCACCACGGAGTTCTCTCAAAGCACGGAAGTGTTTAAGAGCTGCTTCCCTCCCAAAAGCAGCACCTGGGGCCATTCTGCACCTTCTCTGTCCTTTGCTCAAGGCCCTGCCACCTGCAGAGTGGGGCAGAGCTCTGCCAGGCAGACCTGGCTCTGCACACTGCCAGTGCAATTACCGGCTGCTAATTAATCCCAGGAAGGTTCTGCTGCCAGCAGCTTTGTGCTGGGAATAAGGGCAGCTTTGTGCCATCCTGCCAGGAATGGGCCAGGGCATCGTAAAAGCACAGCTTTACATCTCATCCATCTTATCTGCATCTCACATGCAAACAATAAAAAGCTTAGGATAAGTTGAGCTTTGTTGTCTTTTATAAAGAAATAATAAAGTTAATTCTCAATTATACTTGAAGGGCAGAAGTGTTTCCTTTAACAAACAAACCACACCAACCCCAGTCCCCAAGCACAGAGGCTCTGCCCTAGCTGTGGCTGGAGCAGTTTGGTGTTTCCCTGCTCAGAGTTGTACCCCACAGCTGCCCCAGGAGGCACCAGCATCGGGGTCCCTGTGCCTGGGAGAGCCACAGCACACAGGAGCAGCCAGCACTCACCCCAGCAGAGACAAACCCAGCACAAAGGGAGCATTTCCAGCCCTGCCAGCTGCCCTGCAGCACTCAAAGGCATCCAAAGCCCCAACCCGACAGGAACATCTCACACTTGCCTGGCAGTAACAAAAATGCAGAACTGCTGATAGGCAGACTGAAACTCCTGGAGATGCCTCAGCTCAGGAGGAGCCAAGCCCACCTCACCACAGCCTGAGCTGCTTGTTACCTCTGCCTGTGCAGGCTGGAGCCAAGAGCAAGAGGAGCTAACTGACCCACACGCTTTGCCTCCATATAAAGACAGATTTTATTACAAACAAATCAAGTAAACCAGAGCATAGAATTCAAATGTACAAAGTGCTTTGGAATTTTTGGAACCTTCCTGCTATAGGCTCTGTAACAACAGCAGCTGATGTTCGTGTACCTGAGTTCCCCACTGCTACCTGCTGAGCAGACACATCGAGGTGGATGCAGCAGGTGTTGCCACCTGGGGACCAGCACATTATTATTTCATTTGCAAACTTTGCTCCAGATCCAGGCATGTGGCCAGACAAATCACAGCAACACAACCAAGCACTCACTTGCTTTCAAGTGAAGATAGTATGCCAGTAAACCAATCTGATGTAAATAAGGTAGCAAAGATAAACAATACATAAAAAAAAATATTTCAGCTCTAGCTAACTTAGTACAAAACTGTAGATTTTCCTTGTGTGTATAAAAACCACCAGATTATACTAGCATAGGTGGTATTAAAAAAATAATTTGCACTTTCAGTATTAAGATGATGTATTAAAATTTCAGAATAAATAGCAACAAAAGTTAAATTTAATATTTTACTTAATTAAGGCTGAAGTTTAAGAGCCAAATCCTACAATCCTATACACATGCATGATTGAACAAGTATAAGAAGGAGGATTTGACTCTGTTTTTTGAAAATAACAACAAATGTGCAAGTATTGTCTAAAACACAAGTGGATTTGTTCTTCAGCTGGTGGGTTGCAAAGCTCTTTTGACTTCATGTGGGAACACAGCCCCAAATATATCTTCATGGTATCGCTTTTGGCTCTGCAAAAAGAAGGACACCCAAGAGATGAATGAAATGCTGCCAGCCACTCCTTATCCATCAGGTCAGTGACTAAAAGGCCTTTTGCATCTGTAGCACTGGTTGTGTGCAGACTTTTGCTACTGCCAGTGAAAGGGAGCTCCCTGAATCCTGGGCACAAATGCACCAGGGTGAGTTCTGATAACAGGAGGGTCTGAAAAAGCAGCAGCCCAGCCCCAGGTTCTTAGTGATGGGCCCATGAAATCCCTGATCTCACTTTTCCTCTGTTGGTTCAATAAAGCCTCAAGCTCCTGGTGCTCCCAACACCCTGCAAAGGGATCCCCAGGACCCCCCGTGTGAGAGCAGAGCCCCCCTCTCACCCTGCCTGAACAGGAGCCGCGCTGGCAGTGCCGGGCACCGAGCTGCTGGCTCAGAGCCCGCTCCCCGTGCGAGCACAGCCGGGAGCTGGGGCAGCCACAGCCCGGGCCTGCCTGTGCCCACGGGCTGAGGGACACCGGCCATGGGAGTACCTTGAGCTGCTGCAGGTGCTCGTGGGCCTGCTGCGGGCTGAGGCGCAGGCCCCGCGCCAGCAGCGCGCGCAGCGCCGCGCCCACGTCCCGCGCCATGCGCACGTCCCCGCACACGTACACGTGGCCCTGCTGCCCCTGCAGCACCTCGCACACGCGGGCCTCCAGCTGCGCCTGCAGCACGTCCTGCACGTACACCTGGCAAACAAAACAGCAGCACGGCTGGATTCTGCAGTGCTGCTGTGGCTGCTGGCCCCTCTGAGCCCAGCGTGGGTCTGCGCACCAAGGCTCTGAGGGCACAGCTCTGCCCTGCACCACAGCAAAGGTGACAAATGTCTTCAGATTTGGAAGCTGGGCCTGTCTCTTTATCAAACTTGAGCAGACAAAGATTCTTCTACATGCCAAACTCTCCTAACTGCCAGGAGAGCTAAAAAGAGGATAACTTTTATTCTGTTGTAGTTTTTCCCAGTCAAGATTCTTCTACATAAAATTGATTTCCATGGTCACCATGTCATTGAAATGGGGGAAAATGGCCAGTGCCAACTCATTTTTAACTCATGAGTTAATCAAATCCTGCAAAATACAAGGTTTCTGAAAATGTTCCAGTTCTAGTTCCAAAGGCTGTTTGCACTGGACGTGCCTCTCTATGGCAGTGAGGGGTTATATTTATAGCAATTTATAGCACAGCTTGCTTGTGCTGGAATGTACAGGATTTTCCTTCATTTGAAGGAGCTCAAACCTGCACACAATACACTGAAGCAAAATGCTAACATTTTTTTAAGAACAAACAGAGCCCAGACCTTAACTTGAGGGATGTTTCTGGAGGAGTTAACCCTTAAAGAACAAAGGAACCAGCCTTACTTTCTCTTGGCCAGGCAGTCTGGAGTAAGCTGTGTAGACATCTCTGAGGACTCCCCTCCTCTTCATCTCCTCAGTCTCCTCCCTGTAGATGTGATCCAGGTCTGGCCGCCGGCAGCCGAACACCAAGGTCATGTCCCCTCCTCTGAGCCCTGAAACCCGCGTGGGACAGAGACAGCTGAGTGCCTGCGCAGCCACTGGCACACAGGACTGGCACACAGGACTGGCACACAGGACTGGCACACAGGACTGGCACACAGGACTGGCACACAGGCTGTGCCCTCCAAAGAACCCCTGCCCACGGGAATGGTCCCTGGGGGATGGACTGGCTGTGCCAGGGCAGCGCCCGCTGAGCCTGGGGGTGCCAACCTCTGCAGGGGCTCTTGGCTGGTGTTGGTGGGTGTCTGTGGCTGCAGAGCCCTGGCTGCAGCCCCGGGGGTGTCTGTGGCTGCAGCCCGGGGGTGTCTGTGGCTGCAGAGCCCTGGCTGCAGGACTGGGGCTGTCTGTGGCTGCAGAGCCCTGGCTGCAGCCCCGGGGGTGTCTGTGGCTGCAGCCCGGGGGTGTCTGTGGCTGCAGAGCCCTGGCTGCAGCCCCGGGGGTGTCTGAGGCTGCAGCCCGGGGTGCCCCTGAGCCAGCCCTGCCAGGTCCCTGCAGTACCTCTGTGCTCCAGGTCGTAGAGGCGCTGCAGCCAGAAGCTCCTGAAGGGGGCAATGCCCGTGCCCGAGCCGATCAGAATGCAGGGCTTGGCCGGCTCCTCCGGGAGGTGGAAATCATCAGCGCTAAAAGGCAACAATGTGTTAATGAGGTAACTGGTCCGGAATGACTGAGCAGCACAGCCCAAGTCCCCGGTGTGACAGCAGCAGTGGGGCTGAACTGGGTGCTCCTGTTCCCTGCCCTTTCCTTGCTCTGCAGTGGAGAATGGGGTCAGAGCAAGAGAATTATTTCAGAATTTTCTAATGATTTGTAACTTTACTAAATGTAAGGCATGGTAACAGATCTAATCTCTGGAAGACAGGGAATTCCCTCTCTTCTCAGACCCAGCTGTTCCAAATTCAACTCACCAATCCCTTGAAAATATGCAAAGGAAAACCCACTGCAGAAGCTGAACCATTTGTTTATTTCCTTACCTGCGGATGAAGCAGGGAACGGTTCCATTGAGCTCTATTGTGTTCAGCCACGTGCTGCAGACTCCGTGGTGCAAAGGCCCTTCTCCATCTAAAAGCAGAGCAAGGCAGAACACCTCTGATAGCACCCAAAAGCCCTCTGTTTTTAAAAAAGCACACTTTATACTTAAAATTATAGCTTTAAAATAAATGTGTGTCTAGTAATGATTTATAAAACGTGGATACACTGATGATGGTGCATGTTTTAGCAATCTTGGCCCAGGGGGAACACCTGCCCTGCAGGTATGACAACACAAATTCTTTATTACAGATATGCTTCATGCTGTATGGCAGACAGGTTTTTTTTCCTGAACCACAGCGTAGTCTAAATACCATTTAATTAAGAGAGAGATGAAAACAACAGTTCGTTACCTCTTGTCCTGTAGTTTACAACTGCAACTGTCAGATGAATCTCTCTGGCTGTCAAGTCACAGGAGGAGCTGACAGAATAGTACCTGGGCTTCAGAAGGGGCAGCTGGGTCAGCAGGAAAGCTGTGGAGACCTCAGCAGAGGGGAACTCCTCCAGCACCTCCAACACGTTTGGGCTGTTGTAAAACTTCCATTTATTGTATTCTTCTGTGCTCTAAAAGCCAAAGGGCATCACCACAACATTACCAGGTCATACTGAGCTCAGGAGAGCAGGTGCATTTGAAATGTCACTTAGACATTAAATAAGATTCCTACTTTACATTCAATTAAATATGCAGGTAAATCAACAAAGAGTTCTCAAAACTTTGCCAGGACCAATACTGGGGTTTCCTAAGAAAGAGTTTAATTTTGAACACAGAAGTTCAGAACCCCACTCCAATGTTCTCAGACACCTGCTCTCTCAGTGAGGATGCAGAAACTGCAGTAGAATTCATTTCTCAGCTCCCTGTCAGGGCACATCCATGAAATTGTGCAGTCCCAGGTCCTGACCCCTTCCAAGCCTCCCTGAACCTGGTAGGAGGAGCCAGCACTCACTACGCCTTTGAGTCATTACTTAAAGCCACATCCCTCTGACTCTCAGGGTAGCAAATTCTCTGACAAAAACGTGTGCCAGCTGCCCTGCAGCCCCTCCACATGCAGAGTGTTAAAGGATGTCTCAGCAGAAACCACGGCGAGGCAAGAGAGGCAGGCGGGCAATGACCCACCCAGAACCACACAGGAAGCACAGATGCTGCTCCCACACCCAAGCTGAGCCTCAGACCCCTCCTTCTCTCACCGTGGCCAGCTTTCTAAGACCACAGAATGTGTAACAGAGGCATAAAAATCCCTCACTGCAAAAATTCTGAAGCTTCTGCTACAAAGGGTATCAGAGGGCCCAGGGGACAGCAGTGCAAGCAGAACTCCAGCCCTAAGGCTCACCTGACACAACACCTGCAGCCTCTGCTTGTCTCCTTCTGCTGTCACCAGCTGGGACAGCTTTCTTAGCAGCTGTTGGGAGGGTGGAGTGGTGATATCAAGCAGGTATGTCAAAGCCTCAGGTAGTGTGCAGGCTGGAATCTTTTTGTGACTTGCCCAGTACCCACCTGGAAATGAGGGACAGAAAAGGACACCTAGCAACACCTGAGGTATTGGACAGCTGTAGAGCTTTGCAAAACCCAGTGTCCTTCAAAATACCCCTTCAGGTGAGGTGCAGCAGGTCTAGACCACAGGCCCCTTCTGAAAGAGGTCATTGTGAGGTTTTGAACATTTTGTAAGGGGAAGATCTGACACAGAAACTTCATGACAACAAAACACCATTTGGAAAGGCACAGTCTTTCATTTGGGGAAACCATCTTTCTGGGTTCCAGAGTCCTATTATTGTTCCTACTAATATGGGAAAGATGGGCAGGACATGTATGTCTATTTTAGGATTTTACATGTAGCAATAAGCAAACTGCTGATTAATTTAATTGCAGTCAATGGCCAATTCAGCAACTGAATTAGTGTCACCTCAGGTACCTCTGCAAACCCTGGTGAAGTCATGGTTTTTCCAGAAAGGGCAAAATCAGAACCAAGAATTATAACTAAAAACCAGCAACAAAATCCTATTGAAACTCGAGAAAAGGATCACAGAATCAAATTCAGTCAGCAAAAATTCTTAGGAATTTTAAAGGAATCTGTCCAACATCCTCTGCTGTTTTGTCTAAAGAGACCCAGCTTACCATCAATGCAGGTTTCAAGCCTGACAGTCTGGTCAGCTGGAGGGGCATCCTTGACACGTGCAATAATGCCATGGACTAATTCTGCCTGGTTGCCTGGGAAAATCCCAATGTGCTCCCCAGGAAGGTAGTGCACTTCCTGATTAGTCTCACAGTGAAGTTTAACCAGAATGGTGACACGACTGCATAGCAAAGAAAGAAAATGAGACAGATCTTGGTTACATTGACAGGATTTCCATTGGATTGCACATGAAAGGAATAAATCTGCAGTGGCACTTGGCAAGGGCTCCCTTGTGTGCATTACCAAATACCAGACCAGCTTAGGGCTTCACAGAGACTTAAACAAATCAGAGTCCAGGCATGTGAAGTACTTGTATCCAAACAAACTGGGAGCTGAAGTTCTGCTTGGTCTGTGCAGTACAGAATAAACATGCCTGGAATCAGCCAGTGGAAGTGCTGCCCCACTGCAGACTGCACAGCTCACATGCTTCTGCTAAGGACAGGACAAAAATCCAATATCTTTTGTAATAACTGCAGGGAGAAGATGTTTATATCCAGGCACTTCAGATGTTTAAGCTTTTGATAAAATGTAGTATTGCAATATTCAAAAGAATGAGGTAGCATACCTGGACTTCGAACTTTGAAGATTCTGCCTGAATTTCAGCTTCATGGGAATTACATCCTTGGCATGAATGTTTGCAAGAGCTGGTGAGAAAAGAAGACGTGACTAATTAATTTGATTATTAATTAATAACCAAGGTTACTGATGGTAACCTTGTGATTAGGTTTGTTTAAAATGCCTTCAAACAACACGCAGAGGAGAACTGAACCATGCTTGCCCCAGAAAGGGACCAACCACCAGCCATTTGTGTGTGCCCCATTCCCTGACTAAAAGCAGTCCATCTCAGCTTTTGTTCCTCTGGGGCTGTACAAGTGTGTGATAGTTCCAGTGCTACTGTGCTGGGAAAGATAACACACAATGGAAACCAGTGTCTTTTTAAATCTCACCGTGTACCTCATGATATGCATTCTACAATCCAGCAGGGCCAAGAGCACTTCTGGAAAACCTTCAGAGTGCAGCCCCTCTGAAGCAGCAGAGGGAGGGGAAGGTGGGAGCAGTACCTTTAGCCAGGTCCATGGGCTGGGAGTCCTGCACTAGCCTGTAATTGGTAGGGTCCCAGCTTTCCTCAGAGGTGTAGATCGCAGGCAACTGAATACTGTGTCTCCCACGGACATTAAAAATGTCACAGGCAGCCTAAATTAAAAAAAAAAACAAACCAAAAATAAAGGCTATTGACAGTAAAAAACCCCATTCTTAGCATTATCATAACCCTAATAAGGAGCTATCAGTTTCACACACTGCTGGTTTTTACTGCCTCTGGTGTGTGGGTTCTGTGAGTTCAGAAAGATTCCACTTCTATAACAGTATAGCCAAAAAAGATCTACTGCAAAAAATGTTTGATGCCACACGTGTTCATACTGAGCATTCCATTATCCAAAAGGCTGCACACTATTTTTTGTGGATATTAAAAAATAATAGAAAAGGGACCCAGTTCCCTCTCCTTGTTAGACAAGCAGTAGAGAAGAGGGAAGTTCCAAATTCAGATATAAATGCAGATGTTTGGTTTCCTTCATTTTCCCTCATTTTTATGGGAACTGAACTAAAATGAATGGATGGGTGACTAGAATATGAGATGCATTTCTCTATTCACCTGGAAAGCACTGACTGCCCAGCTGCGGAAAGCTTCTTCTTGCCCATTGAGTTCATCCCCTTCACCCACTGGAGTGAGCTGGGAAGCCCCAAGCTGGGCCAGCTTTTGGTCAATGGCGTGAGCAAAGCCACAGAAATCTGGGTACATGCTGGACCCCAGACCAAACACAGCATACCTGAAGAAGGAGATGAAAAGAAGATTGCTGTGTTATGCTATATGGAGTGCTAAAGGACTCAATCACATGCAAACCAAACAATAAAGCATTTTTACCTAATTTTATTTCTCAGCAGTTTCAGTCTGAGCAAGGAGTCCTTCAAGGTCTGCATAAAAATACATAAAATACTTAAGTTAGAAAAATACTCTGAATATTCTGATCTGAAACCTGATCCATATCTTACTGAAGGACATGAGATAAATGAAATGTTTGTTTTTGGTGAGCTGAGTCTCTTACACACTTGTGAGGTGAACATTACCTTTCCGTTACCTGGAGCATCTCCATTTCCAAAAGTGCTAGTAACCACTAAAAGAAGTGTTTCTTTTTCCAGGTCACAAATATTGTACTCATCCATGCACAGGATCTGGAAAGAATAAAGCTCATGAGACATTGCTAGCAGACATAAGAACTAGTTTTAGATATTTCAGATGTCCACTGACCAAACTCACGCGGCATTATGCTAAATGAATACAAAATCAAAGTTCTAGTCCAACTGGTATTTACAGAACATTCCAAACACAGGTGTGGAGAATGGAAAAGCCTGCAGAAGCCAGCCTCCTGTCTCCACGAGGTGTGGCTGCTTTGCAGGGCTCACCTTGGTGCTGAAGGCACAGCTGAACAGGCTGCACAGGTTGCTGGCCAGCGTCTCCGACTTGCCCGTCTCCGTCGCGTACATCACGGTCACCTTGGCCCTGGTGGCCACTGCCCCTCGCATGAGTGAGGAGGCAAAGAGCACAGCCCTGGGGAAGAACAGTCACAACTTTTAATGGAGCTACACTAAGTCAGGTTGATTCACAAACAAGCTAGGAAGGACTGGGCTTGAGCATGGCTTTTCTTTGGAAGATGGTTCATAAGCAACACACTCTAGTTAGCCCTGAGTAAGAACCTTAGATAGGAATGTTACCTCAGGGTGGACAGGTAAGGCTATGATTCAAACCTCTCAAGTGGTCCCTACTGTAATAATTTTTTTAAAGAAGTAGAGCAGAAACATTACAAGAATAGAATAGTTGGACAAAGCATGAAGAATCTTATTTGAACAACTTACTTTGCCAAGATGCTAAACTTTATTTCTTTTTTCTTTGGTCTCCGGGTCTCATCATGCCACACATGTGTTTTCCACGCATCCACCTTTAAAGAAAAAGAAGTTATGCTTTATGTAAAGAATGCAAAATAGTAAATAAACAATTTGTGTATCTTTAAGGGGCCAGATCAAATAGAATCTGTATATGCAATCCACTGATTAAAAACATGGTGTCAGTCTCTGTTGCACTAAACTGCATTTTACTTAAAGCCAGAGAATTGAACAGAACTAACAGCATGTCCCACATAAAATAGCTCCTGTCTGCTGCTTCTGAACCTGTCTAGTGAACTTTCATGAACCAGGGCTTGGCACCCAGACTCCCTCAGGTCCCATATTGCATCTGCACCGCTGAGGTTGTCTGCTACAGTCGGTTCTTCTCTTTGATGATGTGTACCTGGTAGTAATAGAAGGGAGTGAGGACATAGTTCAACATCTCCTGGTGGAACACGGGGGTTATGCTGCCTGACATGGGAGGCACGATCCACACCCAGTCTGCGGGGCAGCCGCCGCGCGCGCGGTACTCGCTCTGCATGTACTTCAGGAAGGACTCAGAGGCCGAGTGGTGATCCATGATGGTCACGTTCTGCTTCTACAGCAATGGCAGGGAGAAAAACACGCATTGAAAGCCCTATTCTGCCCTTCTGCCCGGTGTGGCTACAGTAATCCTCCTGCTTTGGTCAATATTCCAAGGACTTTACTCAGAGTAAAGGGAGTATTTTATGGGAAATAAATACTATCAGCAGTTACTGTAAAGATACAGATTGAGGTGCGGGCCTTTGATTAAGAATTCTTAGATCTTTCCTTTAACATCAGCATTTTACCTCTGCAGCACTGGGAGTGCATGCTGCAAAGCCTCTGACTCACTTTTTCCCACTTTTCATATTGTCATGATATGTTAAACTGAAATTGAAAATAACATATACTAATCCAATGGCTTTACATAGGTTTTGAAACATAGATAAATGTGTTAAAAGAATGGAAAATCTTTCCCTTAACTTCATGTGCTTCTTTCTCTTCCTTCTGCTTTTACCTGTGAGGAAATATGGATTCCTCCACTTTCTCAGGCGAAAATCAAGAACAACTCTATTGGAATCATAATGCCATCTCCATTGAGTGAGAGGAAAAAGGGACAGTGAGTGTTCAGTGTCTTTTCAGATCTCACACTCAGTGACTTACCTGGAAGCTGTGCAGCACAGCCACATTGATCTCTACAACAGCTCGGTCCTTCCATAATGATGACAGTTTGTTTGTTTCCAGCCCCATTCTCCTCCCTACCTCCTACATGTGATAAAGAGAGAGAAAAGGGAAAAGCAAATTTACTATATGGAACTTAGACCCTATGATTTCTCAGCCTCATCACCTTTGTATCAGGAAAAAGTTGTGCAGAAGGCAAGAGAGTCAGTCTCATGCTGGGGAAAGTGATGGCAGCAGAAACACCTGACATTAAAAGTAAACTGGAATTTGGAGTTGTGGTTCTTGAGGGTGTTCCAGCTTCACAAAGCAGGAAGCGGTTCTCTCCCATCCCAGTGAACACTGCCAGTGTCCTTTCCCCAAGCCTCCATGCCCAGCCCAGCTGGCCTGCAGCAGGTCACCTTCAGGACGTTGTAGCGCTGCGCGTCGCAGAAGTCCCGCACCCCGATCTCGGTGCCCATGTACCAGCCGTTGAAGGGGCACGCGGTGAACTCCAGCCCTCCCACCTCCAGCAGCATGCTGGCCACGGCAGGCAGCGCGTACCACCTCAGATCCAGCTCCTTGAACCACTCGTACCTGCCCAACAAGCAGTCTGAGTTATTATTTGGGCGTCTTTTCCTTGAAAAGCAGAAAAGCCCAGGAAGAGAAAGAGTACCAGTTCTAGGAGGAACCCCTGGACCAGGGTCTGCAGAAACTCACAGCAGTTTTCAGTGCAGTATTTGGGAATCAGCAGCTACAGGAACTGCAGAACCATATTACAGAGTTCTGCAATCTGCAGGCCAGTCCCAAAACAAACAGGAAGAAAAAAGCAATGAGAGAAAGGCAATAAACACTGTTATGAGTGCAGTGTTACATGTGTATTACATTAGCATAAGAAATTAGGATTTTTAAAATTCTGAATATAATTGAAATGTAGATTGAGAAAAAAGTTTTCCAACAAAACGGTCATTTGCTTCCTTAATTTAAATCTCATTTCATTGTTCTAACAGGTATTTTATCTTTCAAGACGATTTACCATCATTTCATCCTGACAAAGAACTCATGAAACAACTGCCACAGGCACAGCCCAATAACCTGCCAAGGTGAGGCAGAGGCAAAAATGCAATTATCTAAATCTTGTGTGCTTACTTTGGATGCTCCATGGGCACTTGGAGGACAATTTCTGGAGGTAATTCAAATATTTCTGGGTCTTGGCCATTTGCTTGGAGAACAAGTGGAAGTACATCAAAGCGGCCATATTTCGGCTTCCACCCAAGCTCGATGCACAACTGCAAATACAGAAAGCACATTTTGTGTTCTTTTCAGGTTTCCCCTCCAGACCTGAAAGCAAAAGAATTTTAACCCTCTGAAACCTACTGAGGTAAATTCTAAGTGAGAAAGGTTCTCTTCGCCATTCAAACAATGTTGAGCCATGCTGATGAAGAGCAGGTTGTGTGCCTGGTTGTGTCCCCTGACAGTATTAGCTCACCCTGTTCTGAGATGGAGGGCAGCACTTTTGTATCAGAACTGTAGGAAATTATTGTTCCAGCCTGCACCTGGAACTTGTGGGGCAGAACATCCCCTTCACTCCTCACCTCCCTACCACTCTGCATCCACGTGCGAGGAAGGAGCCCCAGGGAGGTGGGTTAGCCACCATGGGAAGCAGCTGTGCTGGTGAGGTGGGGCTGTACCTGAGTGAACTCCACAGAGGCAGGGTCTCCGAGCACGGAGCCGTCTGGCCTCTGGTAGCCCGCGTAGCGGATCAGCTGGCTGTTCCACACGCGGAAATCGTGCTGCCCGTCCGTCCTGGGCGGGAACACCGTGATGGCTGACCTGCCCGGGACACAGGAAACATCCTCACTGCTCACACAGAAACTGGCACCAGCAGAAAATGTTTTACATTTCTAAAATGAATAGCAGTGGAAAAAAAAATCATTCATCCTCTTTATCCACCTCCCCAAGTCTTCAAGTCATCTCTTTTCCCGAGGAATTGCAAAAAGTTTTGTAAGATCAGCCATAAAAGTTATAAATTTTCAAGATGGCTGATGGAAGACATGAGAGGAAAATTTAAGTACCAGGAAAATTAAGAGCAGAGACAAGTTGTCAAAATGTTTAGATAGATCATTTCATGTGTTTTTGATGCCAGATCTGGATGTGATTTTTGTTGTTTAAAATTAAAATTAGAGACCTACCTTATATTACCATTGTTTGTGGCATACTGAATATGATGACAGATATGCTCAAACATTTCCTTGGCTGTTTTACAGTCCCGTGCATCAAACACCTGTGTGTTTCCAAAAGAAATGTAAAGAAGAAGTCTTATTTTGAAACAGCAATGCATATTTTTCCTATGCACTTAAGGAATGGAAAGATTGTGGCTCCACTAGGAAAGGTTCATTTTAATAGTTCTTATATGCATCATTTTCACCCATAACAACCCACCAAGGACCAAAACATGTACCAGGTTCCATGACACACCTGGTTCCTACACTCACACTGCTACACATTTTCATTCAGCCAGGAAAGCAGAGAACTACAAGGAAGCCAATCTCCTGACATGGACAGGAGGGAATCCTCCTCAATGGAACAGTGACCTGCTCTAGCAAAGGCCAGGCCATTGTTCTGAGTCACAGCAGAGGACTCTTTGGCTACAGCCTGGGTGCAGCTGCACAGCTCACCTGCAGGTTGGACCACTGGATCCTGCCGATGCACCTGGGTGCATTCCTCCAGGCCTGCTTGGCAGCAAAGGTCAGCTCCTCCTTTGTCAGCTGGTAGGTTCCTGTTGTTTCTATCTCCTTGGTCACTGCTTCCAGCCGGCCCAGCTGTTCGTTGATTTTTGGCCTTTTGAACAGGAAACAGCCATGAAAAGAAACAATGAGAATTTCATTCAAAGTGCAGACATTCTCTTTATATTTTGCCTTCAGGATTTAAGACTTGTCCTTATGGAGTGTAAGGACAGAGCCTACTGGCCCCATTAAGAAACTAACACACTAGAAATTTAATAGTGACACCATCCTTTCACCAGCCAATACATGCATGGACTGGCCACAAGCTATTCCGTGTAAGTTTTTGGTTAAAATTTGGATTTTCTAGATGAATTTGAAAAAAATCACAAGGAAATAAAAAACAGAGAACAGGTGAGTTTCAGGGCACATGTGGGCTGAGAGTGACTGTCCTCTAAAGATCCATTGTGTTTACAAGGCCACAGCTCTTCTGAGTAAAGTAAGTAAGATTTTCATTCCTAAAGGGAAGTGCTGAGCAATTCCTTTGTCAAGGAAACCAACACTAAAATTCTTGAGTTTGATAACAGACAGTGAAGTCAAAACATTAGAAAATATTTATCACAGCAGAGACAAAAATTGTTTTGTTGTCTTACAGACAGAATGAAAATAGCCTGCACTGTCTGAGAGTTTTCACATTTTCAGCAAGATGAAAGATCAAGGGCAAGCATATGAGATAGTGTAAACCAATGTGATCAAACAGCCATGAGCAGAGACACAGGGATGTGCAAATACAATAGGCTGGTGAGGACAGCCTGTGTGTAATACAGGGACTTTCAGAAAGATTCAGGGGGAAGAAAGATTTTAAAGTAGTTCAAAGTGTCTAAAGAAGTGGCCATTATGTGGCTGAGTCCCTTTGAAAGTTTGATAATGTTCTCTAATGGGATGAGCAAACACTGAACTGTTGCTTGAAATCTCATCATGTGGAATGTCACTGCAAGCCCTTGGACATCAAGCAGCTGTTCCAGCATTTCCTGCACAAGATGCCCCTGCACCATGGCCATTTTTGTGACAACACAAACCCCTCTCAGAATGCTCACTGAGCTTATGCTGATAGCACAGAGCAAGGGTGAGAAGCTACACTGGCCTTCCAATCTTTGGCTAAAGCCTTGAGAGGAACACAGAGAAAAGCTACTTGGAACAGCACAAACAAAAGGCATTTTCCACACTGAGACTGATGTGAGTGCAGCTATTCCCAAGAAAGCAGAAGGTAATGCTCTGGCAGAGTCCTCAACGTACTGGAATGCAGCACACTCCAAAGGGATGGAGCTGAGGAGTGCATGGTCCAGAGTCCTTCCCTGTGTTCCCAAGGCCTTGGATTGGCAGATGGAGCACATGAAGTGCAATGACAGGTTTATCTGGCATTTTTAACAGTCCTTACATATTTTTGAATGCATGCTATGTAACAGGAGAGTTACCAAGAGCTGTGAAGAAACCAAACCCTCCTGGAGGCTCACAGATAGACAGGTAGGTAGAGGATTTTATACCCAAAAACCAAGTTCACCTACTCTTTAAATGAACTGTAGTATTGCTTGAGGAAGTCTATTGCCTGAGGCAAAAGATCCTCTAGTGGAACTGGCCCATCTCTGGTACCTCTCACCAGGCCCTTTGGGGTCATGATCGACCCTTGGCAGGCCTTGGTCTGGCAATTGATAACCTGAAAAACAATCAAATGTCAAAAAACAATGTTGCACTCTGCGTATTTTAAAATTTATGAAAACTCCCTGTTCATATTTCCATATTTTACCTCTTTTGCAGTCAGGTGTAGTGTGTCAAGAAAGCTGGATCCATTTTCCAAGTTTCTTACTTTTACATGTCTTGGACATCCTGATATTTGGTTTGAAACTTTGATGTCCTTTGGAGGGAGATTCTGGGCAGAGAACAGACAAAAATGCATACTGTCTTCAGAGCTATTGAATATCTTTCAGTTTCCTTTTATATTTAAAGTTAACATCAAAATATTTCAGTTTAAATTCAATAAATTAGATATAAATGTGATCTGCTCCAACATGACTATTTGACTACAAAACTACTGAGCTAATCTACAGTTTGATATGAAATGAGGAAAAAAGTATTTTTGTACTAATCAAACAGAGTCTGCCACTGCAAATACCTTTATAATTTCAGTAAATCCTCTGAGTATCTGTGAGCATTATAATCACAGTCTCAGGAAAACACTGAACCAGTTTCAGAGACAGGACAGGTTTGTTACTAAAGGTTTTCAAAGGCATATAAAGGAATCAGGCATCCCAGTCCTCGTGGGATCACCTCTTCCTTTGAGTCTTATCAGTGCTCCATTTTCGCAGAACAGAACTTTCACCCAAAGATGTCCCAGAGTCCCAACTCCTGCCACCACAGTCAGACCTCTCAGGAGAAGGTGGAGCAGCTGTGAGCAGCAAGCACCACTCATGTGAACTGCCACCATCAAACAATGATGCTGGGAACAGACCTGTCCTCCCTCACTGGGCTTTGCTGAAGTTATGACAGGCAGCCTCTCCATCTGCTTCTTGCTGGGATTGTGCAGCTTGGCATCATCCTTTTCTGAGCTTCAACAGAGAGAAAGAAAAGTCAGCACAAGGCAACGTCCTTTGTGTTAGGCTTTGCTTTCAGCAGCAGCAGGAGATGCTCAGTGCTGTCTCTGAAATATGTGCTGAGCCATAACCCAGCAGGGGCAGTGGGCAGGAACCAGCAGAAAAGGCACAGCACCCCCTTCCCAGAGCACTGGGTGGAAGGGAAGGAAGGAGGCAGGGTATGAAACCTGAAATAACTAACACCCTGAAGGCTGAGAAATTTAAGATGCATGTGCAACTTATTTTATACAGTGTTGTGTATGAACTGCATCACAGTACTACTTCACCAACTTAATTACAGTATAAATAATCACTTTGCTATTTTTATAGCATACACACCTCCTGAGATTTGGAATACATGAAACCATGTTAACTCACCAAATAAATTTAAGACTATGAAAGAGAAAGCAAGATGATTTATATCCTCAATGACTGTTTAACTTCAACACAAGTGTTTAATGTTCATTACCAAGTTACACCACCCAGAGACCCTCAGTTCTTTGGTTAATGTCAGTATTTTGGAAACACATTGCGGGTTTCTCCAGAACCCAAACCACTTAATATCTTCCCTTTTCAAATCAAAGATAAACTATGAAACCATTAAAACCAGGATCTTACCCATGGATCTTCCTATTTTTCTCCACGTTGTTGTTGATGTCCTTCTCTCTGGGGTACTGGCTCCTGGCAGCACGAGATTTGAACACAAACTGCCACGGGCACAGCATTTCGTATGGTTTTTTTGGTGGTTTTACTTCACTGTGCTGAAACCTTGTTTTGTGTGATGTGGGAACACTTCTAAGGACATAAAAAACCCAACAAGGTCAGTTTTTACCCAAGAGGGCAACTCCCTTTAACATCTCTCAGAAAGTCACCCACTAACTGATCTGATCTAACATCCTGTGTTTAAAATGAAAATTGCTCAATTCTTAGGATAGTGATACTAAAACTAACACTTTGCCAGTGTAATATGCAGCCATGTACTAATCTAAAACACTGGCAAGAGAATTTCAGATGACCCCTGGTTGTGTAAAGCAGCAAATATTGGTGTCAGAGCAGACCACAAGCTTAGAAAAGGGATGTGCAATGTTGCTGTGTCAATCACACAGTAATGAAAAAATCTTGTTCATATATGATCCTAACCATTGTGCAGTGTTTCCACCTGCCAGAGACAAACAGGATTCTGAGAGGCTGAAGTCTGTAGTTTTTAAGATATGTAGCACTTATTTCAATGTAACACATATTATTTACATAAGAGTGCACAAAGTTTATGCTATTCATTTTAACATACATTTTCTGCTCATTTCTGAACATAAGATGGATTTTGTGCTAGGGGTGTGACAGAAGAGAATGATCAAGCCAGTAAATTGCAGGGATAGAGAGAATTAGCCCCAACATTTGAATCTGGTTCATAACAGAAATCAAACCTGATGTTTCCAAGAAGTTAGAGACAAAGGAAGAAAAGAGACATTGTCACATATTCCTGATGTCAATTATGTCTTATTTTGATTACTTTTACAGTGAAAGTTAAATTTTTGCTGGAATCTGAAGATACTGTCTGATATAAGGTTACACAAGAAGAGAAATCCATCCAACTGTCTGTGCAGAAACTGCAAGGTGTTAGGACTGTTTGCTACTCCAGGTGAGAGAAATAATGTGTAATAAGCATTTATCGGCAGTCACAAAATAGGAAAAAAAATCTAAATTATTATTCTGCAACAAAAAATGCTGTGATGTGCTGTACAATTTTGTAAAATACAGGGAGAAAAGAGAGGAGAAATGGAGAGGGGGAAGAAAAGAAAGAAACAAAGAAGGAAAAAAAGAAAAAAAGGAAAAAAAGGGGGAAAAACCTCACACAAACATTAAAAAATACACAAGGATAAAAAGGTGGAAAAGGAAGAAAAGGAGGATAAGGAGGAAAAAGATAAAAAATAATAACAGGAAAAAAAGAAAATTAATAATAAAAAGAAAAAATAAGAAGAAAAAGCAAAAAGAAAGAGAGCAGACTCACATTTGCCTTCACTGGCACTCAGCAAGAAGCTGCCCTGTGTCCCGCCCCGTGGGGTTCTGTGGGTAGCACTGCCAGTGTTACCAGTTGCATGCACAAACCTTTAAATCAGCAGAAAGGAAGGACAAAGTTTTCAGAGCAGCTGGACAGCTTGGAACTAGAGCAGGAGACTGAGTCTGACACTTTGCTCCTAATACAGAAAAAAGATACAGTTTGCCATGTAATTAGTTTGCCTGTGAGTGGCAGTAAATGAATGACAGAATGAACACCTGGACATGGTGCTCCTTACCGTGCTTTTGGGAGAGGTGTCCAGCCCTCCAGGAGAGACTCCTCTCTCAGAGCTGCTTGCCTTCCAGCTCTCAGGCTCTGTATCCCTCCCAGGAGGCAAAAGCATTTTATAGTGCAGACCCTGTATGCAAAATAGCTCTGAGCAAGGCTGGACATGGACAGTGCAGCTGGGGATTCCCCTGATTCCTGTCGTGTCCACTTGGAGAAGTGGAGGGTGTGTGGCTGAGCAGCGTTACACAACCGAGTGAGGAGGGAGGCAGCGCCTGCTGCTCTCAGCATCCCTCCTTCCCTGCTGCTGCTGCACTCCTGCTGCTGCTCCTGGAAAGGGCAGGGAATCGCTCGGAACAGTTTGCAGCCTTGCACACAGGTTAAAAGGAAAAGAAATAAATGCTGGAGGGCCTCTTACAGCTTTCATCCCTGTGGCCAGTCTCCAGGCACCCTCCTGCACACCACCCATGGCTGTAGGAAGAGAGTGAGCAACTTCAAGGGAAATGTTACAGAGCTGTAGAGCTCTACAGTACAGGCCAGGAAAGCACTAACCATGTACTTATAACTAAGGACAGGAATTTTGAGTTTCACCTACACATACTTCCTTACTTTTTATCAAGTTTTAAAGGATCTATCTCAATAGAGTATTTGTAGAATTTCTTGCTCTCCAGAGCTCCCTGTTCTGCCTGTTGCTGCCTGTGAGATTTGTCCCTTGGTGCTTTTCCAAAGTGTTGGGAATACTGGAAGGAAACTGCAACTTCCTGAAGTACAAACCATGCCCACCATGCTTATGTGGGAATACCAGAGGGACAGCTGGATGAGGAAGATGGGATTGCTGGGCTGATTTGCAGTGTCAGACAGCATGTGGACATGTACCTTTTACAGAAGCAGGCTTCCCCCTGCAGTCTGGAAGGCAGAACCCCCCAGGACAGGGGACAGCAGTGCCCAGTGCTGCCAGGCACCTGCAGCCCACGAGTCTGGTGCCAGACAGTGCCCAACAAGGATTTTGACCTGCCTTATTTGTTCCTTCATATTATGTATGGCCATTTTAAGGAAACTGTTTACAAATTAAAGATGACTAATAAATCTGCTGAATAATGTGAATCAAATTAGGTACATTGATAACTAGGGAAAGATTTACAGTTGCTGACCAAAGATCTACAGAAATTAAGCATAAGGCAGCCAGAGAAATGAGGAAATGTGTGTTCTTTTCTCATCTGTCACTCTTTTACTGGGCAAGCTTGGGCAAGGTGTTTTCTTCTCTGTGTCTAGCTTCTCTATTTGAAAATGAATATTAGATGATTGTGTAAAGCATTTCTAGAGGCAAAGCAAGTGCTGTGCACACGTGTTCATGCACGAGATCCCCTGTATGCATCCCATCCAGGATTGCTAGAGATGAATCTCTTCATAAACAGACTTGAGTTTTCTGAGCATTCATCTGCTTGGCTTTATCAAGCCTGTGCTGCTTAGCATCCACTGCTCATGAATTTTCCTTTAATGTGGTGCCTTTCTTCTCACCAGAATTAGCAGGTGAATCCCTTTGTTTAAAATATTCCAGTCATCAGGCAGATGTAATCAGCAGGCAGAAATGATGTGTGAGAACTGTGCCACTCAATGCCATGCAAGAAAATTCTGCCTTTACAGTCTTCTTTTACATTTACTACTTTGTAACAGGGTTTAAAAAATTCTCTTTTCATCCTTTCCTTTCTTATTAACCTTTCTTCTATAGAACATGGGGAATCTTAATGTCTAGTACTGGAAGAAAGAATATATCTTAGTAGAAGTTTATTTGAATTCAGTGGGTTCTAAGCTTTCAGTATTCACCCTCCTTATTTCCCTGTGCTTGGGACTGCTGAAATCTAGGAAAGGTCATGTAGGGATTAGATATGAAAAATCAGATTTGGGATAACCAGAGGAGGAAAAACATCTTCCCTTAGGAGAGTTTGTAAAAGGATTGGCTCAGGTAGGTACAGCCATTCAGGGAACTGCTTAATCACTCCAGTTGTTCAAACAAGACCTGATTTTTTACTCACTTGAAATCAATAATAAAACTCCCTCTGTACAGTAAGAACAACAGAGAACCATTCAATCCTCAGGTGGATCAGAGATTAACTGATAAACAAGCTCACTGGCCACTCCTTCTACAAATATTCTACAGGGCTTGGAAGGTTTTTCCTTCAAAAACCCAATTCTGCCCATTTAAACAGACACTTCTTCCTCTGCCATATCAGAGTGCAAAACCTGGTTGCTTTCCTTGCATTAACTTTGATGAAAGAGGTGCCCTTTCAGAGCAGACTTTGACCTATTCGATGCTGTCATCTGGACTTAAATTTTGTTTTGTTTCTGAATGTCTGATGGTTTGTAGCTTCAACAAACAGCTCTCTGCAATCTCCTTCCAAGTGAGTCACATTCTGTGTCTGATATTATAACATACATCATATCTGCAAGATGCTGCATGAGCTCAAGCAGTCATATTCCTGAAAACATTTACAAATCAAGCTCTGGTTGTCAGGTTGCTCCTCTGAGATCAGGGCATTTTGAGTCTTCAAAGAACTGAGGCAAAGTTGATGACAAGGAGGGCTGATCTTCCCTGCTTCAGGGAACCCAAAGAGATGTTCAACTGTCCCAGCATTTCATAGGTTATTAGTGAACTTTTTCTAACTCTCTTTTCCTAACCAATGTAACTATTGTCTGAGATGTCTCTTGCAGCAGTGCTGCATGTGACTGCACAATAAATACAGTCCTGCAACCCTGTAAACACTCAGCATCTCAGATTTGTTAGAACTACTCTCACACCCAGTGGTTTCTGACAAAGATACAATTAATAACAATAATAACTATTGTTGTTCCCAAATATCTCCTCTCATTGACTACCGTCAGTCATCTTCTCTTACACTGGTTTGGTTTTTCATTCCCCAAAGAAAATTAGTTTGGTTTGAATCTTCCCAACTTTGGGGTATTTTTTGGTGGGTTTTTTGTTTGTTTGTTTGTTTGTGTTCTGGTTGCTGACTATTCCTTTAAGAGCTTTAAGATATTCACCATTAACCGTAGTCCCTTTTTCACTGGCTTCTTTATTATTTCAAAATGTTCCTTATAAAGTGGGGATAATAACTCTACCAAAAGCAAAATAAAAGATCCAGGCCTTGGCACTTGAAAACATGCAAATAAAAGTAGGATCCCAGCCCAGTCTGGACTGTTTTCCAGTTTCTGCAGATTTAAGGTACGTTCAAAGCAGCAGTTTAGTGTGGAAAGTGCAATGTTTTGTTTACCATGACCTGCTCTCCAGTGGAAGATTGAATGTCAAATGATGGCAGGGCAGGGTGAAATATTTCCCAGTATGACCATCTGAGGGTGAAAACGAAAGTTAAGGAGAGTGCTAAATTGCAGAGACGTGCCAGTAAACCCATTCCTTCCTGTCTGCTCGCTGTCAGTTAGGCCAAACTCAGACATGCAGAAAGAACAGAATTCCCTCATCAGTCACCTCTCCAAAATTCCCAGGGATGAGGAAGTGAGGGAACCAAA